CTCTCATTGAAGGCTCTAATAGTTTTGGATTTTACCTCAAGCCTATGATCCACCTTGAGTTTATTTTTGTGCATGGAGTGTGATAAGGGTCTTGTTTCATTTTTCAGGAGGTAGATGTCCATTTTTTCCCCAGCACCACTTGTTGAAGAGGGCATCTGGATCCCATTTTATATTTTGGGGGCCCTTGTCAAAGATCAGTTGTCTGTATCCTGATCATTTTATTTCTGGTTTTCAGATATTTTCCATTGTTCTGAGTATCTGTCATGATACCAATATCATCTGGTTTTGACCACAGTGACTGTATAATATGTGCTAAAGTCAGGTAAAGCAAATCTTCCCACTCTTTCCTTCTTGAGGAGTTCTCTGCTAATTCTGGGCTTCTTCCCTCTCCATATGAAGCTGGTAATCAGTTTTTCCAATTTTTTGAAGAAAGATGAGGGTCATTGTATAGGGATTGCATTAAACTTATATAGTGCTTTGAGCAGAACTGACATCTTTACTATATTGAGTCTTCCAATATACGAGCATGGGATATGCTTCCATTTGTTGAGGTTACTGTTGGTTTCTTGTAATAGTGTTCTGTAGTTTCCTCCTACAAATATATTTTGTTTTTTAGTCAGATATATCCCTAGATATTTCAATTTGTAGAATTCTCCTGTGAAGTCATCTCGTCCAGGGGACTTTTTTTGTTGGTAATCCTTGATAACCTTGTCTATTTCTTCTATTGCTTTGGGTCTGTTGAGATTTTTTACATCCATCAGGGATAGTCTAGAGAGGTATTGCTTTTCCAAGAATTTGTCCATGTCTTCTAAGCTGTTGAATTCATTAGAGTACAATCCTTCACAGTACTGTGTAATTATCCTTTTTACTTCATTAGGATCTGTTGTAATGTCCCCTCTTTCATCCCTTCTACTTGCTATTGAAATTTATTCCTTTCTTTTTTTGGTTAGGTTTGCCAGCAGTCTATCAATTCTGTTAATATTTTCCCCCATAGTATTCTTATTTTCCCTCTCCTGACTCTCAGCCCTGATTTTTATTATTTCTTTTCTTTTACTATTAGTAGGATTGTCCTGTTGACTCTGTTCGGTAAATTTTGTGCCAGCATTTCAATCTAAAGTCTCTCTTCCTTTTTCATGTGTGCGTGTATTGCTATGAAACTTCCTCTGATAATGGTCTTTGCTGTGTTCTATACGTTTTGGTATGTTGTGTTCTCATTCTCATTGGTTTCTAGAAATTTCCTAATTTCATCTCTGATCTAGGCCAGTACACA